ATGTCAGCATGACCTGAGCTGCGCTCTGTGAGAACATGACTTCCCAACTTTGTGGGTGCCCCCCCTTCTCCCCGACGGCCCCTGTGACTCACAACAGGGACTGACACGTCCCTGCAGCCCCCTCAACCCCATCTACGGACCCCCCAAAAAGAAACCACTGCCTTGGCCTCTAAGAATCTGGCCTAGTAGACAGAGACTGATCTACTGAAATCCTTACTGAACACACACGCGCCAGCCGGCGTTAGGGGACAGAAGGGTTCTTGTCCACAGGGTCCCCCCACCCTCCGCTGTGGGCATGTCCTCCAAGCCATATCAGTGGCAACTTTAGAGAAGGTGACCAGCGGTGACCAGACTTTGGTTGGGGCAGATGGTGACCTGGCAAGCAAGGAAGGGCTCCAAGGGCCATGGAGGGCTGAAAGGGCAGGTGCTTTGAAGAGGAAGCTCTGCAGATGGTGCCCTTTTGGTCTCGGACAGATCAAGGGCCTCGGTGGGTCCCAGCTCTTGAGGGAGCCTCTGTTACGGAAAGCTCACCCCAGCAGCGCCGAGATCACTAGGGGCCAGCGACTGGGCAAGGTGTCTTCGAGCCCGCCTGCAGGGAGCAGAGGAGACAGGAGTGGTGCCGGGGCAGGCACTAAACCCCACCATGTGTCTGGGCTGCTGAACGGTGGCCAGCCGTGGGTTAAGAGCCAGATTCTAGATGACAATAAAAATAACTGCCACCCCTTGCACGGTGCTTATTATGAGTCAGGCACTCCTCTTAGCACTTCAACTTTTGGAACACATGCAATCCTCACAAGCATCCTAAGAGTTCGTTACTGTTATTATCCCCATTTTTAAGAGGAATAAACTCAGTAATTCTCATGGTCACACCCCTGGGAGTGGCAGGATCAGGGGCAATGACCCTGAACCTTCACCACAAATTCCTTGAGCTAGGAGAGCTCTCAGAGGTCAATCGACCCAACTCCCTTATCTTACAGAGGGGAAACTGAGGCCAAAAGAGACTGAGAGGTCTGTTCAATGGTACTAAGCTGGTTAGCATCCTGGGATCGGGAATCCAAAGAATAACTTAGTGAAGATGGTTTGGTAGACCACAGAACCAGGAGCTGGGAGAATAGGCTCCAATAAGCCTCTGGCTATCTGCTGGTCCTCAGCCACCCCTGCCCACCGCCTTCATCTCCACCGCATCCCTGCCTTATCCTACGCCTTCAGTGCACACAGACGCCACTCAGCAGCCCTAACCCTGATCGCAGTGACCTCGGCCTCCACTCCGCTTCAGCTGCTCATTCATCACCAGGGCTTGCCCCCCAACCCCTACATCCCTCCCCAGCACAGCCACAGCTTCCCGTTCTAGCTCCTTCATCCCTACACTCTCAAGCTTTTCAGAGACTTCCAGAGCTACAGTTTCTTCAAGCCCACAGGCCACCGCCTGTCCACTGCTCCCCACCCTGGGTCCCATGGACCAGCCTCTCAGCAGCACTCTCTTTAAAACCACTTTCACCTTTTCTCCCACCTGGTGATTCTGATGAGCAACCAGAGTTGAGAACTCAAAGGAGGAGGCCTGACACTTACTGACCTTGAAGCCAGGTCCACTCCTCCCTGGCCTTCCATGCCGCAGGCTCTGTGCCTTCACAGAAGTTGGCACATCGTAGGCCATATCCGTATTTTTTGAGTGAATGGATATGCATTCCTAGGGCTTGTCCCAAGGACCAGGGGAGGCGAAAATGTCCATTTAATGAACTCCAACTATGCAGAGGTTTTTCATTTACGTTTTTCATCTAACCCTCTCCTCTCCCAGTGCCTGTGAGGTGGGGATAAATATCTCTACTTTACACAAGGGAAACCGGATCTCACTGAGGTGTAGTGAATTGCCTGGGGCCACAAAGCTCTTGCTTGGCAGACCTGGGCTTAGAAATCTTCTGGTACCAAGTCTTTCCTTCTCTCCTCTGATATAAGTCTTTGACCCAGAGAGGGTAGAGCTGAAGCAAGCGCCATCTTTCTGGCCACTGGTTCCCCATGGACACCTGACTGTCCTGGCAGCAGCTTTAGATCCGGTACACCCAAGCCAACAAGGTGAAGTGAACTGCCTGGGGTCCACAGCCACTGCTTGGCAAAGTGGGGCTCAGAGATCTGCATACCTGATCCAAGGCCGAAGCAGCTCTGGGTCACTGCACACTAGCTTTGAATCTCATGGACAGGGGCTCCAAGGAGCAGCTGGTTCCAAGGTGGGACAACCCTCAGCCCTCTATCGCTTTCAGTAGGTTAAGGTTTTAATTAAGGTTCCCCCCATTACCCTCTAACTTCGGGATTGCTTTCATTTGACATTCCTTCCAGAATTCCGGAACAGAAGTGCTTGATGCTGCTGATCGACCAGTTTCATAAAAGGAATCCAGTTTCCTCTGCACTCACGAAAAGCTGTTAGCCCCTGGCGAGTCTCCAGGGCCTGCACTCCAGTGATGCAGCCAGACATCGGGGGAGGGATGCCAAAGCCCTTGGGCACAGAGAGGAGTCAGCTGGGCTGAGAGATTAAAATCGAGAGGGGTCCTTGCCAGCAACACCACCAAGCAACATCCTGTCCTTAGAAAAGAGGCTTCCCACTGAGATGTCCTGAAACCTGGCTGAAGGCTCTAACACGGCTGTGCGGGGACAGACAGGTGGCACCAAACTGGCATCTCCCGACCCCCGTGAGGACAGAGGAGAGGAGAAAACATTGACCAACAGTCCGTCAGGCTTCCAGCCTCAGCTGGGCTCTTTACCAGCAAGTGCCCCGGGGCAAGAAGGCACCTGCCCTCTGTGAGCCCCAGTTTCCTCATCTGTAAAATGGGAACCATAACCTCTCCCTAAAGGGCAGCTAGCTGTTTGCAAATCTACAAAGCTTGGGGCTGATCACGTATCCTCTTTAAACCAAAGACTGGAGTTTTTCAAACCTCTCTACACAAAGGTAGTTCTCATGTGACTACAGGTAGCCAGTAAGGGATGGAAAGAAGGAGTCAGTGGGCTGTCTGGATCTGGAGTCTAGATTCTTGGATTCAGTCCTGACTTCTCTGTCAACAATCTTTCATGACTTCAGAGGTGCTTGGAAGCCCTGAGCTTTGTTCGTTCCTCTCTCTGGGCCTCAGTTTCCCCCTCTGTACAATGAGGAGGTTGGGGGAGATGTCTGTAAGAGCCCTTCAGGCTGGGTCAGCCAAAGACTCCATTGCAAAAAAGCAGGTCCCTCCAAGTCTCGGCAGAGTCTCACGTGGATGGGGCCACAGGACTGGCCCTGTCCACCCTCACCATTAATCTGCTTCACACTCATTCCAGAACTTTCGAGGCTGCCGTATAAAGGGCAGGCTTCCAGCAACAACCTCTTCAGGGCTTGGCAGTGAGTTGCTCCCACTGGAGGTCAAGTTCTCTCTGCACCTCTGCCTGGGGACTGGGAAACAGAGGTGGGAAGCGGAGGGCCATTCTTCTCAGGGAAAAGCTGGCCTGGTTTGGATGACTGCAGACCACTTCTGCTTTTCAAGCACCTCTGAAAATATCCCTCTTGGCGCATAAACTATAGCTTGCAAAACTCTTTGAAATTCATGACTCATCTGATTTTGGCAGGAGGTCTGCACAATGGGCTTGGGAAGGGTTATTGTCCTCATTTTATAGGGGCGGGAACTGCAGCTCAGAGAAGTGAGGTGACTTCGCCAAGGTCTCACAGCTAACGCATGGAATGGCCTCTCCTTCCCAGGGAGGGATGGGGCAGAGCCTCGGAGAGGTAAGTGCGGAGCTGGCGTGGACCGGGTCTGGGGGTCCCCGGCCCTGCTCTGCTCCGCCTCCCCCACCTCATCCCCCCACTGGCAGAAGGGGCGAGTGCTCCCCAGCTCCCCTCACAGAGGTCTGCCTACACGCCCACCTCACAATTTCCCTGAGGGCCTGCTCACAGGGTTTCTCCTTTCTCTTGGGCTCCTGAGCAAACCTGGACTGAATCATCTTGTGGGGAAGCTGCAAGGACCAAGAGCACACACAGGAGAAGACAGGAAAGTAGGGACTCTAAAGAGATGAGGAAGAAAAAAAAAAAGAAACCACTCTGCACTCCACTGAATGGAGAAAGCTTTTTAAGATTTGCTAATATCCGCTGTTTGTAAAAATGTGTGGAAATTTTCAAAGCCGTTAGAGGAACTAGAAATTAGAACAGGCTTTCTGGAGGTCAGTTTGTCTGAACGTTTTAAATGTCCCAGTAATTCTACTTCTAGAAATCTATTGTGAACATGCACGCCTAGGTGGAAAGGTGCTGGCTGTGATATCAAAAGGCTGTAAACATTCAGTAATTTACCATCTATTCACCCGACAAGAACATTAGAGCCCATTAATAAGAACAAAGTCAATCAAGATCTCGAAGACCTGTTGCAAAGTGAAAAATGCAAAATATCTACCTAATATGAGGACATTCAGTTTAAAAGTACTGAAAAAGGTCTGGGCAGATGAACAATACACAGAAAGCAGGCCTTGACTTGGAAGAGAGAGTGGATTTAGAGGAATTGGGTAAAGAAGCCCTTTTCTTTCTTTCTTTTTTTTTTTTAACTATATGTAATTAAACTCTTCTTTTCCTTGCAACAACAGCAGCAAGCCTCAGAACACCAAGTATTGATATATATTTGTAAATCATGCAAACAAACAAAAACTAAAAAAAACCCACCCTGTCCACAGTGACTTTGGAATCTTCATTCCAAGCTGGCTTCTCCCCAAATTCTCCTCACAGGAGAAACACTCTTGGTGGCACCTCATGATTTTAGATCATCGCTAGGTTCGGCAGCAAGAACCACACATCTACAGGGGTGGTGAGGGAATAAACCACATGATTTAGCCGCAAGGCACAGCGGAAGGGAAGGTTCCACTCCTGAGCGAGTTGGAGGTCTGCGCCGGCCCCACGCAGCTGCCTCAGCAGCTCCAAGGCCGCAACAGTGCCCACCCCGACGGGGCGGTCTCGCCCCCGGCCTGGAGGTGGGGAGGGGGCGCCTCCCCCCAGCCTGTACCTCTGAGAAGCGCTGCACATCCTGGGTCAGCGTGCCCACCCGTCTCCACTGGTAGTGCTTCAGCAGCTTCAGGATGGCTGGGTTCACCGCGTTATCCGATGGGACCGTCCGAAAGAAGTAAGGGTATTTCTTCTTATCTGCCAGGACAGGCGTGGTGGCAGCAAAGGAGAGCTGGAAAACACGAAAGAGACAGCATTTTACCGGGGGGACCTCATAGCCGTGGGCCCAGGATCTTTCCTAAGGGAACAGAGGTCTTTAGTTCTCACTTCAGGTACAAACACACCGGCAAAACACTTTTAACCTTCTTACTGCACAAGTAACATGTTACAACTGAAGAGGCTTTTAAAAATGCAAAATAAGGAGAAAGAACCTTCGTTAATGTTGTCGTCTGCCTCCTTCAGATCCTGTCTCTGTGCATGGCGATGAAATAAAAAAAGATTCTTGAGATCATTCTACATACACATTTGAACTGTTTGTTTATTCCCTCATTAAACACTGTCTTAAAAGCATTTAACCATCCTGCTAAAACTTCTTGCAAACATTTTAGCATGTAAACTTTTTAATAGTTCCATAACATTCTAGCATCTGAACATACTGCAATTTACTAAATTATTGTGTTTAATTTGGGGACACTTAGACTATTTCTAATTTGTCATTATTATCACATTATTCTACAAGTACCTTTGTGCTTCGCATTTTCCCCCTATATTTCAGGTTTTTTCCATAGGATAGTCTAGGATGTGAAATTTCCCAGAGAAAGAATGTGAGCTTTTAAAGACATGGGATGATCTGAGAGAACAGCACTGAAACATGTATATTAACATATGTAAAACATACAACCAGTGCAAGTTCCATACATGAAGCAGGCCGCCCAAAGCCTGGGACAACCAGAGGGATGGGGCGGGGAGGGAAGTGGGAGGGGGTTTCAGGATGCGGGGACACATGTATACCTGCGGCTGATTCAAGTCGATGTGCGGCAAAAACCAGCACAATACTGTAAAGTAACTATCCTTCAATTAAAATAAAGAAACTAATTAAAAAAATAAAGACTTCACACTTATTTCCAAAAAGGATTGCATCAATCTGCACACCCACTAGCCAGGTATAACTATAGAGGATCAATCTTACCACATTCTTGTCAACAGACAGAAATAAAACATCTTTCTATCTAATTTATTATTTCTATCTAATTTATTAATGATTTATCACTGAAAAACTGGAATCGTATTGCATTTATTGGTTATACATTATGTTGAACCTTTTTCTATGTGGCTGATTACTAGTCATAGGTCCTATTTTAGGAATTGCTTTTTCATGTCTCTTGTTTATTTTTTGAGTGGTATTCTAATGCTTATCTTATCAAATTTAATGAAGACTGTTATACGTACAGCATTCAAAGTCAAGCTATTACAGGTGCTGCAAACACCCCAGCTTCTTTGCTTTTACATTTCATGTGTGTATATTCTAATTTACAGTCGGTAGTCAAATCTATCCATCTTTCCCTTTATTAGTCTTTCTTTTTCTTTTAAGTGCCTATGAGTTGCTAAATTGGATTTTAATTATCTGTCCTACAGGGCCCAGCATAAATGTCACCTCTTCTATAACATTTCTTCTGATCTCTGCTTTCTCTTCCCCTCAGCCTCATCCACAGAAGGTGGTTATCAAATTTTTTGATCTTTGCAGTGTGACGGTGGAAAAATGGTACCTTCTTGTAGTTCTGATTTGCATTTACCCTATTAAGAGTGAGGTTGAAGATCTCTCTGATGTTGAAGAACAATTTGCAGTATCTTTCTGGAAAGTATTCACATCCTTTGCTTGCTTTCCAGTTGGACTTTGAGTCTTTCCCTTACTGGTGAGCAGAAGTGAGGAGACTCGCCCTTTGTGATGTAAGTCGCTAATTCACCCTCAGTCTGTACCTTTGCTTTTGATGTTTCTCATGATGCCCTTTGCCATACAGAGGTGTTTGTGTGTGTGTGTGTGTGGCTGAATTTATTAATTGTTTTTCTTTCTGTTTTCAGTCTTCATGTCATATTTAGAAAAACCTTCCCCAGCCTGAGTGTAAAAGAACCCCTCCATGGTGCCTTCCAGTCTGTCTGTCGTCCTCACGTCTGTTCTCCAGGGTGTCGCCTGGTGAGGGAGGAGGAAGATTCTGCACCCGCATGTGACGAGCGCTGACCCAGCTGACGGTTAGGCCTAACGTGATCCTGTGGCCCCTGACAGATTATTTTGTTTTTCATGTGTCTAGCAAGTATTTTGGAGAAGGCAATGGCACCCCACTCCAGTATTCTTGCCTGGAAAATCCCATGGATGGAGGAGCCTGCTAGGCTGCGGCCCATGGGGTCCGCTAAGAGTTGGACACGACTGAGCGACTTCACTTTCACTTTCACACACTGGAGAAGGAAACAGCAACCCACTCCAGTGTTCTTGTCTGGAGAATTCCAGGGACGGGGGAGCCTGGTGGGCTGCGGTCTGTGCGATCACACAGAGTCAGACACGACTGAGGTGACTTAGCAGCAGCAGCAGCAAGTATTTAATAAGCTCTTGTATAGTTTTCTGTTGTTGCTGAGAACTGGTAGTGACCACTGCCACGGTTATGTCTGTGCATCACTTGTTAAGGCTACTTGGTTTAGTCTAAGCTTCTTCAGTATGCTTCATTTACCAAACTTCGTGCTCAGAATACCTAAATATTGTTTTATTTTTGGCCATGCTGCACAACTTTCAGGATCTTAGTTCCCTGACCAGGGTTGAACTCATGCCCTCAGCAGTGAAAGTGGGGAATCCTAACCACTGGACCACCAGGGAATTCCCAATACTATTTTTAAAAAGTAGCATTTCCTTCCTTCTTTGGTTCCGTTTAAATCTTTGATCCAGAGAGGGCATGGCTGAAGCAAGATCTCCCTTTGCCGCTGCCAGCCTTCTCCCCCAATGTTTGCTACTCTGGCAGCTCGAGATTCAGCATAGCTCGGAGCCCAGCTTCAGCATCTTGGGAAGAAACATCCTGGCACCCCCAGCCCCCAGGTGAAGCTGCTTTGCCGCTCCTCCTGTGACCTGAGGAAGTACTCCTTCCCCCCCAAGACCAGCAGAGCAGGGCAGTGGCAATCTTGCCCCTTCGGTGACCTGGCTCGGGCAGTAGGTTGCCACTACCGAGGGTCCCTGGATCTCTTTGGTTCACTTGGCAGCCTCAACAGGTCCCATTTGTTGGAGCTGAACATACAACAACCCATCAGCTGTCACCAGAGCTAGAGAGCACCTATAGAAACCAATTTCTAGATCCCCAACAGAGACAGGACATCATCCCAAGTTTGGTAGAGGTCAAGGATAGATCAACTGTTAAAAAAACTGGGGGGTAGAGTAAGCCCCAATAGGGGGTACCCAGAGAGAGGAAATCCAAGTTGGATACAATGAGGACACTCACATGCAGAGCTGTCCAGCAAGGGAGAGCCTGCTGATGGAAGTAGTGAGATCCCCGTGTCTCGAGGCGTGCAAACAGAGGCTAGCCCATGGCCCAGAAAGAGCACAGAGGGGCCTCAAAGTGTCTGAGAACTCCGGAAAAGCTCTATGAAAACACCTGTGGGCATGCGTATGCATTCAGACACACAAGTTTTTCTGAAAAGGGGATCCACGGCTGCCACCAGATTTACAACAAGGATCTTACAACCAAACAAAGTGAGCACACCTGCCTGAAGGTGATACTTAGGTCCCATAGTGATGTAAGAAAACAGAAGCTCTCTACAGTCTGCTCAGACCCAGTATCTGTGATTCTTCTCTCAAGATTAAAGCAACACTTCCAGTTTCCTATGGTCAGCGTAAGAAGGAGCTATTAAAGTCAGGGAGGCACTATTTCAGGACCTGGGGTGGTATATGTACAGTTGCATCCCCAAAAATGCTTATCTAATACAATTTGGAAAATATTGGTTTTCTGATGTGATTTCTGAATCACACTCTGGTTGATACTTTGCTGTTATTGTCCCATTAGTTCCAGGTCCACAATTAATTGTTGCTTGAACAACCTCATATGTTTGCCCTGTAGGTAATTACAGTGGTTACTGTTCAGTGAATAAATGGCCCATTGTGTTTACAATGGGCTTGGAGTACAATATATGCCCCGGGTCTAAATCATGTTGGGTGCAAAATATTAACTGGCACTGACATTTTCTGCACCATTTGAGATAATGCACACTTTGATTAGATTGCTTTGCATCACTGTTCTTCTAGCTTTAGCCTCCTAAAACTTTCTTCTAGCGGCAAAGCCTGCAGGCGCTGGGGAGCACTGCTGGACTTGAGAACTGAAGGAACCTGAGGAATCATCTAGTTCTGGGGTTCTCTCTCCACTCTGGCCACACACTGGAGTCACATGAGGAGATTTTTTAAAATATTGATGACTTCGTCCCACTCCAAACCAAGTGAATCAGAATCTCTGGGCATAGAGCCCAGGTATCAGTATTATTTAAAAACTTCCCAAGGTGATTATGGAGCCCAGTGAAGGTTGAGAATCATTGATATAGCTCATCAGCCCTAGTTTTGAATAAGAAGACTAAGGTCCTGAAATGGAAAGACATCAAGATACCCACCACAGTGAGTAAGAGGGAGAAACAGAATTCGAACCCAGAGCTAAAGCACCCTAACATCTGTGCCCTTTCTTCCCCTGGTGGCTATCCTCCGTGGCCTGGGGGCCAGGCTTTCCCCCTCCAGCACAGTCACCCAGTATTTGCAACACGTGGCCTGTCAGCATCAGGAGCCCCATTCTAAGGTCCAATCTCTTGCCTCGTTTCACATAGCCAAGTCCATTTCTAGACAGACTATGATTGAGGTTTCAAGTTAATCCCTACCGAGGATTATTTCAGAGAGTACTTTTAAATTTATTTTACAGTTTTGTTATGATTTCTAGTTTTATTGTATTGTTTTGAGAATTTGGTGTATACAGTGTCTGCTTTTGGAATTTATTGAGATTTTTTTTTTGGTGGCTTATTATACAATCAATTTTTGTGAAAGTTCCATGGTAGCCAGAAAAATAGATGCAGTCTCTAGTTGTAAGCTATAAAATTCTTTATCAAACTTTTTATGCATAAGAGTATAACCCAACTAACCAATTATATTATTAACACATGCTTTCTAGTTTTGTCTACTTGACAATCAAAGACTGAGAGGTATGTTGAGCTTTTTTCTATTGT